GGAAGCGGCGACGAAACTCCTCCTGAAACTTCGAAACCCGATTCCCGGCGCCGACGAGGTGCGGATAAGTGAAGCGGACTGCTGATGCGTGGGACGAAGCGACAGCCCGTGCTTCAGCGATAAGGTACTGGAGATGCTCGCCATGAGCCTTCGCGCTGCAAATCACAGGGATTCAGACACGGAACAGGTGAGGAAGGAGGAGAAAGCAAGTGGCCGTAAATCGTAGAAGCTGAGATCGAAGCAACGGCGAGTGAGACCTGGAGATGGCATCCTGGGAGTTGGATGTGGAGTGAGTTTAAATATGGAGGTTTTGGATTGAATAAATTAATGGAGTATTCGGCAGATGGCAGGGGTTGGATTTGACTCTCTGAGGCGTCGAAGAGTCGTGCTGCTCATCAGATGGGAGGGGTTAATTTTGCCGTTTTTTTTGAAACGGAAGGAGGGAGGGGACGGAGGAGAGCACGGCGGCGACGCGGCGGAGGGGAGGGGCGAGGGATGGTGGTGTTTGTTTTGGATTATTCGCAACTGCCGTTGAAAGAGTGCGTGAATTGTGCCACTCGTCGTCTCGCCGTTTGAGATCGGCGAAGTGTAAACGCCGCCGTACCTTGTCAGCTTCTTTCCTCTACAGCAGTCAACGGCTCAACGCTGTATGAGCCCAGTCCGTTATCTTTACGTATGGACTTTCAAGCCCCTCTAAACAGAGGATGTGCCATCTTTTACCATTTGCCTATCTCAGGTTGTTTGGATGGATAAATTGAAAATCAAGATAATTACCAATTGTCTCTTTTACGAAATTATTCATTTAAAATTGTCTACACCACCCTAGACAATTGTAACTATATCAAACGAATTAATTTGAAATTTTTCACACTAAATTGATTCATTTATATTTTGTGTTGCCAAACAGCTCAATTTGGTCAGATTGTCTCAAAACAAAACAATTGGGTCAAATTGATCCATTAGGATTCTTTATTCAAAGACTCATTAATTCTTGGAGAACTCTTCCGCTAACTTGGTATCATTTCAAGTTAAGTAACTTCAATTAATCATTTAATTTGTGTCGTAAAAATATATTAAAATCAATTTATATTACTAATTAACAATGGTTATTGGATTCAGATCGGACAATATGCAAGGTATTGGCTTCAGCTTTTGTTTGTGCTGGATATGCTGAAATTCCCACCTTACCATATTCACCCATTTGCTAAGTTTGAATATCAAGCCGACAAGACTAGTTTGGTGGCTAGGCAACAGAGTACCAACTAGAGAACCATATAAAAACTAAGTCTGGATACCAATTTGGCAAGACGGACTTGCTAGCCAGAAAAGAGAGCTAACAAGAAAACATTGGTATCAAGTTATCAAACCTCCCAAAAACTAAGTATATATATCAAACTGGCAGGGTGCCAACCCGATGAGGAGGTGACAGAGTGGCCAGCTGAGGTGGCCACCCGATCGAGTACCAAAATATCATCATGGACACTCCCTAAATTCTCAAGACTAAGTGTGAATCTCAGGGGTGGTGTTGGTCAGCCCGGGTACTAAGCCAATGAGACCAAGTTGGCAAGACGGGCTTGGCAAGGTACCAAGCAAACAGGTGAAAAGTTGTCAAGTTGATTACACGAACTTGGTGGTTAGTTCATCAGGGTAGGGGGTTACGCGACGATCCCTATGCATAAGTCTACGGAGCCTAGAGGGTGGAGACTTGTCAGCCAAGATGCTCGAGCTGATAGGAGAACTTAGTTTCCTCTGCAATGTACACATAGTTTTAGCTTTTAGTATCTCGAGCTCTCACGAAACCTCAATAGGAGTAGAGTAATTTAACTTAGTTTGCACAGCTATAAAAACATCAAACACTCTCGTTCGAACTTTGTTTGGAGAGGTACAAACCGTGTTATTGTCGTTGTTCAAAGAAATCAAAGGTGCATTCATTGATTTCAAACACAAGAGTTTTACTGGCCGAAAAACTGAAACACTCTCGTTCGAACTTTGCTTGGAGAAGTACGAACCATGTTATTGTCTTTGTTAAAAAAAATCAGAAGTACATTCATTGATTTAAAACACAAGAGTTTTGAAGGCAAGTTTGTGTAGCACGTCTAGGTAGATGCTAGAGGGAAGTCAGACGATAACTTGAATCGTGCATCAAAGGAAGGAATTGGCAAGTTAGAGCTAGGTATATGTTCCATTGGAGTAACCTGGATAGGGTTCCCCTTCTGTTGGAGTGCTGGGGTAGCTGGTGCAACTGTACAAGTGAGGCAAAGAGTCTTGCACACTGGGCTGTCTTGTTTTGGAATCGGCAGAATGAACTATGTCTTGGGCTTGAGTTTTCGGATGGGCAATACATATGGGGATTGGGGTGAGTGCCTGAATGGTGTAAAGGGTTTATTAAGATTTAAGAAGGAGAGCCAATAATCCGACCAGTTTAATGGACCGAACAATGCAAGTGTTTATTAAGCAGCAATGGGATGTGTTTCTCCTTCCGTGAAGATTAATATTTGGGTTTTTTATACAAACGTGAACATTACTTGGTTGGGCTCACTGGGCCCAGGATTTTTTTTTCAATCGGGCCATGTAAATTATTAGGGGAAATATTTGGTCAACCATTCAAGAGATTGGCCTAGTGGTAATGTAGGATAAAAACATTAATTACATTTTGAATTTCGAATCTTGGGGACAAATAAGTAAATAACCAATGGGACAAAATATTTGAGCCTTTATTTACGAAGCAGATTGTAGGCGGAAAACAAACACACGCCCATTATTGAGGTGGGAGAACATGAAATTAAGAGGCTAAGGTGCCCTCTATTCAAAATTGCGAAGATATCAGAGGTTTTTGAATGGAAAAAAAAAATCAAAGAAATCCGACACGAGTTACCTTTTGATTTGCTCTACCAAGACTTTTTCGTTGAAAAGTCATATAAAGTATATAATCTCCGTTACTAGAACATAGTATGGATGGCTCCAACTAACAATCTTCACGAGGTGTATGACGGTCTACGAATTTTGTTTGCAAACCAATCTTACTAGTCTCAATATATCCCTAAGTAATTCTAATTTCTATATGCAACTCCAGCCAACTCTATATGGTAAACCTCCTAACATGTTCATTGAAAATGCAGGCAACATCGTTATTATTTGGGTCTTTAGATTCTCAACTACGTTCTTGTGGAGTCTATGACTATTGATTATTGACCAAACAGAGTATGACCTAAGTACCCAACAACTACTCGCAGCAAATAAATTTGGACCACCCGAGAATAACTCCATTCAACACATTTGAAGCCGGGAATAGCGAACGGCTCCAAAGAGCAGCCCGGATTCAAGTGTTTCCTCCTGCTGCCGCCGCGCAGCTGGCCTGTCCTGTTTTTTCCTTGAACCTGTCATGGTGGCGCTTTCAGACAACTCCAAACGTTGTTTCCCACTTCAGTTTCTGCCCCCTTCACAAGGAACACACACACACACAAAAAAAATCCATATACATAGCCTAGCAAAATATTAACAGGTAAAAGTAGCGATTTCACCCTGCGTCTCTATGCGCCGAAGCAGAGTTCATTTCTTTGACTCTGCTAATTTCATGTCTTCTTCTTCCGCAGGATTGGGATTGGGGGTGCCGAAATCAAACCACCCCCAAAAAAGGGGTCGGTCAACTGGTTTATCTTGATTGATGTGCCCAACAAAAATGCAGCGATGGTCCAGTGCCTGCAAGTGCTATCCGATTCTTCCCTCCCTCCCTTCTTGGTTGCATACCTTCTGATTACTACTTGGGAAAAGCATTAACCACGGCTGCTGTTTGTCGTGTTGGTTTTGTTTTCTGTATATTCCCACAAAAGGAATCGAAGACCAATGAAGATAAAAGGAAACCAACATTGGCAAATGGCAAAAGGCTAGATGTGAAGGTTGGAATTAACTGAAACGTCGTATAATTTGGAATTCGGATGTCATTTTCATTCTACCGTCACTAGCTAACACTACTGGCTTAACTTGCCAATTATCAAACCGTAACAAGATCAATTATAAATTTTTTGGGGTTTACCTAGCTAGCTAGCTAGCTAGCTCCAGATGATCATAAATATAAATAACTATTTTCTGTTGCCATGTGCTTCCGTCTTGATTAAGGAATGTTATCTACGATTACATTAAGGATTTTGTTTGTGGAGACAAATTCAACGGTTTAAATGTTTTCTATACCCAACATAATATTGTATACTTAGCCCCTGTGAGCTAATGAGGATGGAGTGAAGACAAAAGGAAAATACATGATCACTGGCACAAAACTAATAACTCTAAAAGCATAAATACAAAGTTTTTGTTCCCAATACTCATAAAAATTGTCATATGCATAGAATAGAAGAAGACATACCCAGCTAGGCTTCTCTTTTGTTAGAACTTGCAGTTACTAGTTATTACTTCAGACTGACATCTAGAAATATAATTCTCCCATGCTTCGGCTTAATTGTGATTTGTGACTAATGAACAACAACCCTTTACCCAAATCATCATAGTTATCATATGACATCCTTTCTGGTTGATATTACCACGAGAGCAAATATTATAATTCGGAGCTTACGAGTTACGTCTATGAAGCGTACCCAACCCAATTTCCAACAGGGGCATTTGGAAGCATTACATTGTTGACAAAATGACCATTACTACTATAAACAAAGTGGTTTAGATTACACTTTGTCATAATCATATGTCCTTACTGCACTTCCTACCAAAATTCCAGACATTGAAACATGCTTTCTTATCACCACTCATAGATATAACACAATATAGAGTGTACTATTTAGCTATTTCACATCCAGGAATGCATAATTCCACATGTTTAGTGTTTTCTGCAGCCGGAGCCCTATACCATATGGCCGTCTAATTAATCACACATTAGAAGCATAAAACAAAACAAAAATTCCATAACCTTCAACAACCCAAAAAAGAAAAAAAGAAAAAACATGTCACTCTGCACAAATTCCCACCCCTCAAATATCCATCTTACCCCTCTTCTACATCATGGGCTGAGAAATCTTGCCGGCGTGTTCCAACAACTCCATCATCTCCGACCGGCTCCTCACCGCCTGGTGAAACACATCCCTAATCTGCTGCTGCAACGGCACCAACCCTTCATCCATCCTCCGGCAAACCTCCGCCATCTCCTTCACCTGCGCCGCCACTTCCTCCAATTTCCCTTCCTCCTCCACCGGAAACTGAAACCCGTCGGCGAACTCAATCAACCCTTGGCTCAATTTCTCCATCTTCTGCATCTCCTCCAACAAACCCGCCGACCCCTTTTTCTCCTTCTTCTTCCACTCCTCCCCAATCTTCTCCTGAAGCCCATTAAGGCTATGGGCCCAGGCGAACTGCCTCGGGATCTGGATATGGAGCGGCAGCCCAACCCGGTCCTGGCACGGGACCGCCGCGACCAGGGCCCACATCACGAAAACCATCACCACATTCATGATGTACACCGGCAAAGCCAGCCCATTCAGCTCCGCGCCACGCGGCGCGACGAGATTGGCCCACATCGCGTGGATCTGCTTCGCCGCGGACCAGTTCTTCCCCACAATCATCGAAAGCGACCGAAACGTCGCCGTCGGGCGGTCCTTCACCGCCGCCGTCGCTCCCCGCCGGCCGAACGACCAGCTCCGCTCGGGGGTCTTGTAGTGGCTCCCGCCGTGGTCCTTCTCCTCCAGCGACGCGACCAGAGCTCCCAGTGCCTTCCTCGCGCGCTTGACCTGGCCGTCACCGATGGGATTTTGATTTTCGAGGGCGGCGACGGTGATCTCGGCGAGGCGCTGGCAGTGGCGGACGGACTCGACGCCGGCGGAGACGGCGTTGCAGATGTCGAGGGCCTTGACGGCGCGGTCGAGGAGCTCCGGCATGAGGCGGTCGAGTGGGGGCTTGGTGAGCTGGGTGGGCTCGCGGCCCATGATGAGTACGGCCTTGAATTCGGCTTCGCAGCAGAGGAAGGCGTCGACGAGCTTGCGGAGCCAGGAGATGGAGAGGAGGCCGCCGTCGCCCGGGTGGTCGAGGAGGTCGGCGAATCGGTCGGAGACGTTGCGCTGGAAGAGCTCCAGGTCCTCGAGCTCGAGCTCGTGGTTGGGGTCCATGGCGGTGATTTGGTTGCGGCGGGTGCTGATTCGGGTGAGGAAATTAGAAGGCTGGAACTCTGTGGCGGGCATTTTTTTGTGAGGGAGAGGGAGGGAAAACCAAAATTGGAAAGGAGAGGAGATTGGAAGGGCGAGAGGGAAGGAGAAAGAATCGGAAGAGGAGGAGGTTGAAGAAGAAGTCAAGAAGCAGGGGAGCGACATACGTGGGACGCTGTTTGTTTATTCGTGGTCCAGTCTAGTTTCTGAATTTGGTTTTTTTTTTTTTTACGCCCTTCAAAGAAAACGAGACCCATTCTTCTTTATTCTTGTTCTTCTTCTTGTTCTTGAGGTTGCTGACTCGGCCCGGCTGCTATGGTGTTTCTCTTCTTTAATTCCCAATCCTCACTGATTCAGTTGCGGAATTGTTAGTTTGTTTATAACAGCGAAAACCAATAGATTTTGTTGAGGCTACTTGGTGAAGTACTTGATCAAATATTACTAGTTTGGATAATTATTAAGGAGGGTGAAAAAATGTGTTTATTCGTATGAATTGTGAAAATAATTTGCTGAATTATGTATTGCTATTTTTTTACGCGATGAAGTATACTATTAGCAGGGATGATAGTGAGGCGGGTTTTGGGTGGTTTTTTTTATGTATATAAGAGGATGCGAAATGAAGAAATAACATATGAGTTTGAATTTTGAAAAAGTGAAGAGTGAACTAAAAGAAATGAACTTTGGTTTGATTTGGTTTGGCCAATCACTCAATTGCATATAATTTTTTTCTTTCTTTTTCTGAATTACAATTTCTATAATTGTTGAGATTCCATGCATTGACTAAATCGAAAACGATCGAGTACCCAAAATCGCGAATTTGATTGTAATCCGAAGTAATTCAAAGTACTCTTGGGCATAAGTTCCAACATGATTTTGCTGATTGCAAACAAAAAGAGATGATACCCCCGATTGGCCAATTAGTATGAGAACGATAAACCTTGTCCTAGTTTTAATTAGGGAGGAAGTTTCAGGTCATCACGTTGCCCAAACCAAAAACCTCTCTCTCTACGCACGAATCCACAACACCCCAAGTATGTCACCTACTCACTCTGGAATCTCTATTCCTCAACGTGAGAGAAAGGCCAATTACATAATTGGCTGTCAAGCTTTGCATTCACTAAAAATTGGTTACAATAGTTAAATCTTTAACACACTTGTGTAAATTAATGTAACAAATAAGTTGTATTCCAACTATTTTGTTTATTTCGATAATTGTTTCCAACACATAGCTTGCCAACTCATAATAATAATGAAAATATCATACACAACGTAATTAGTGAGAACACGTTTCAACCCAAAATCAAATATAAATTAAATTCACTTCCATCTACATTATCAAGAATCCATTTACTTTTACCTTACCTTACCTTACTATATTAATCATAATGATTCCTACATAACATATGAAGGGTGATGGCTGATGGGCAAACTGATAATTATGTTGATTAATTTTTTAACTTCCAATGGAAAACCATTAAAAATAAATTTGAGTAACCCACTTATGAGTCCCTAAATTTGAGCTGTAATCGGCCATAAAATATCATGCAAAGCAAAATCAAATAAACTAGCAGATACAGATAAAAGTAATCTAGATACTAGCTAGCAGGGATTATGCATATTTGTTTATTTGGCAAATGGCAGTGTAGGATATTTCACTTTTACTACTGATTTGCCATCGCGGCCCACCATCCTGCGCTAATTGTGGCCATAAACTGGTACTTATAGTATTATGAAGAACCAAAAATAAGTGAGAATTATAAAATGGACCGAACCAAATATAATTTTTTTTAAACAGATTGAAAAACCAAAGATAAGTGAGCCAGAAACAGAAAGGAGCGAACTTTATCTTTTGACACACCATACAAGACCAAGACGAGAGAGGGTTTCAGTCTCGACTCGAGCTCGACATTTGGGTTTTTTTTTTTTTACAAAAGATAAACAATAGATTGAAATCAATAGATCATTACATCCTGAAATACAGCCAGACCTGGAAATCAAACAAACGACAAGTAGTCGAAAACAAAGACAGGGCCTGTCTAGCTACCAAATGAGCTCGACAATTTGGGTCATTCTCACCACATGCTTCTGACAGTTTTGGGCCCTATGACATATGGGCCCGCGGAAACTGTGCACATTTTGACTATCAAAACCGACCAACATGTATGGTTCATACTTGAGGAGAGGGTTCTGTGTCTGCGCCATTGAGTGCTGCAATTTATTATAAAGCCGCTTTGGACAGAGAGATTCTGCTACCCATGGTGATTTCTAGTTAGTGAGTAGGGTTTGATTTAGTTGGATTGCATAATCTGTAATCTCAATGATATAAATACGAGTTTAGGCCTTCTCCTGTTAATTCGATTGTTTTGGTTTTTGGATTGGATGAGTATAAAAAATACATGTGCAACATGATTGCATGCGCGGTGATAAAAAGTGATAGTTAATTATGTTTAACTTCTTATGATTCCAATGATGTGGCATGCATCACTCCCGGTCCCAGTAAATGGATAGTTGGTATTGGTTTGCTGTTTCTTTAATTAGTAGTATAATTGTCAGTTGATTGCGGTTATTACGGTTGCTTATCGTGGGAAAAAGGTGCTTTTTGCCGTTGATAAATAATTAACAACAAATGAAAAACGAATGTGGTTACTTTCGGTCATTCTTTTTAATTAGCGTTTAATGATAAAGTGTTGTTTCTTGCGTAGGAATTATTGTCGGCACTCGACTACAGTATTTGAGCTGGACTCTTTGCTACCAGACCATTTGTGTGTTGGTATGGGCTTCCATATTTTGGGCTTCTTATGATTTAGAGAATTGGGTCAACTACAATTCTTCTGTTCGGCCCTGTCCAGATTTCAGTCATGCCTTCATGATTGGTTGTGGCCTGTGGGAGAAGATTGAGTGCAAAGGTGAGGACACTGCTATAGGATTTTGATGAAGTGGTTTATAGCAGTTATCTCCTTAATATGGAAAAATGAAGGAATTTTTTTTTATATTAAGAAATAGTGGCGGACCCAGGATTGTTGGAGAGGTGTGTCGTCGATAAAATACGATAATAATTAATAATTAAATAAAAAATTAATTAGAAATTAATTTATAAAGTTCACAATGTCATGTTTACAACGAATCAAAATGATTTTTCATCTACTTAATTGTCTCTAAAATACATTCATCACTTATGCTGCAAAGCAAATCTTTTTCAAATATACTCAACAACCATTCATAAATTTGTCACCCAACCGATTTTGAAGATCGTTCTTGATTATGTTCATAGCTGAAAATGCTATTTCGCAGCTTGCATTTCAACATATAAAGGCATACCAACTTCAAAAGCAAGTATTCTGGTGAATCTCGACAGTTGCCACTTGGGCTTTGGTGATTTTTTTTGTTTCTCCATTAATGAAAGGACCAATCCCAGCACCATGGTTGTCACGCCGGCCGGCGTGCCACCGGTGGTACCCGGTTCAACCGATACTGGTCATAAAACCGGCGTGACACCACCGGTACGACCGGCATGATCGATATATGAATCTCTAAGTAAAATGACTTTAATTTAGAGAATTTAATTGATAAAAATTATTTATTATTTATTTTATGAGTATAAAAGTTAAACATTGATGTTATTTGTTGGATTCAAGTATAAATGTTTAGGTATTGACGTTAAATGTCATGTTTAAATATGAGTATTTATAATTTTATTTGTATATTGACCGGCATGAACCGGCACAAACCGGTATGTGCCACCGGTTGAACCATTCCACTTGCTAAACCGGCACACTGGTATAAACCGGTTTGACAACCTTGCCCAGCACACATGTATATTGGTATGGACTGTGAGGTTTTTTAATAGCAATTGATATGATTATGAGTTATTTTAAACAAATTAAAAATGAATTTTGTTAATTAGAATTTAAGATTGATTCATTTAAATAATAAAATTCTTCCAGTTTAATGAAGGTGTGTCGGCTATAATTATCGAAGGGTTGACGGAATTCCAGAACTTAAAATTTTTGTACCAAAAATATGTAGGTCCTTCACAAAATTCTCGGGTGAGGGTGTGTCGGACGACACGCCCTCCCTTGCCTTAGGTCCGCCACTATGAAGAAAAAGATGAAGGTGTATCACATTTTTTGAATGAGGTGGATCGTTGGGTAATTGATTTACATTTCCCCGGATATCTCGTCTCAACAAAAAAGCTAGTTCGGAGGAACTCATAGCGTCGGTTATCTTGGTTAAGTTGAATGTTGACGGTAATAGGAGAAGTGACCCACCATTCATGATTATCGGATCACTTTAATAGGAAAAAAACCAATGTTGTCAGAACCGAACCGGAACATGACCCGGTAATGCGAACCGTTCGCACTTTAGTGGTCATGTTCCGGTTCGGTTCTGACAACATTGGTTTTTTTCCTTTTATATTAAAGTGGTGTTCGCACTTTAGTGGTCCAACCGGTATTAGACCGTTTAAAAACCGTTAGAGAACCGGTACCTAATAAACGTTATCAGTATAAATAGTGGACATTTCTTAATCATAGCTCGTCTCTTTCCTTCGAAATTTTGAAATGGAAATAAGGATTCACTTTGAGAGACAGACGCTTTTGGTTTATTTCAATTTTCAATTTTCTGAAATTTTTTTAATTAAATTTAACGGCTGAATGACAAAAACCGGACGAGCGGTTAACCGCCTCGGCCGCTCGTCAACCGCTACATCAAAACCGAAGCGGCTTTTAGACCGTTCCGAGCCGCTTTTGTGACCGGTGGCGGTTTTACCGATCGGGCCGAGCGGCTAGGCTCGGCTTTAATAACACTAAAAAAACACTCTGTGGGCTTTTCCTTAACTTGGGCTTTCCCGAATAAATTAACGTGGGCTTATTTATTTCAGAAGCAATTCTTCTGGGCCTTTGAGCCTTGCCCAGCTGTCTAACCAAGACAATGACAAAGTGTGGGCTTGCCCAAAGTTTTTTTTTTTTTTTTTGTGTGTTTTTTCAATAGGGCTCGTAATTGCAATAGCTATCTAGACAGGCACAGTTTAAATTAGG